GAAAAGACTGAAGATGTCAAGCGTTTCATTTTACTTGGATCCACAATCAATGCCCAGGGAAACAGCGGTCAAGAAATCAAACAACATATTAAGCAAATCTGCTGTAACAGCTCTCTTTAAAGTGTAAAACTGCTTCATTTGAAGCAAAGAAGAGTGAAGAAAATCAAAGGTAACAATTATTCCAAGGATATGATGGACTCTGAGACCGAAAGAACTAGACGGTGTCCAGCTATCAATGCCAACCACTCAGAAAGGGATTAAAACTGGAGATCCTGGATAAAGTAGGAGAAAAAATGTGGAACAAAATCCAAAAGCACAAAAATGACCAGAATTACTGGTCAGAGAGAGTATGGTAGAACTCTTAAGTCTGTGCCCCAGGGTTACCTTTCAGGTGCAGAATTGGATTCACTCCCATGGACTGGCTCTCAGTCCAACAGTAGAAAGATCTACATGCAGAACACCTACCCTATGGTGATGTACCCACCTACTCTAGGGAGATACACCCTTAGAGCAATTGGTCATGGGGCACCAGAGGGGCAGCATTCACATAGAGGGAAAACAGCACAGACAGGAGTGCATAGCTAAGAAGGGCACAGGGAGAGGGTAGTCACAGGGATGGGAGGGAGGAGAGTTTGTTATGGTTGGGGATGGTAATTAGGGCATGAAATCCAATGCATATGAACTGCTGAATATAAGACAAATTTTGCTCTGTAAATTTACACCCAAAGGACAATAAAATTAAAAAAGAAAGAAAAAGAAAGAAAGAAGCAATTGGGAAAAATCTAAACTACACAGTGATTGCTTATTAACATAGATTCATTAAATTTACATGTGATGGTGGTAAACTCTTATTTTCCTAAATCCAATGGAAACATAGCCTCACATCTTATGATTGCATAAAAATATTATCTACAAATAAATAAATAAATAAAGTGCTAAAAAGCAAAGATGTCGTCTTAATGACTAAGGTGAACCTGATCCAAGCCATGGTATTTTCAGTCATCTCATACACATGTGAAAGGTAGACAACGAGCAAGGAAGACCAAAGAAGAACTGATGTCTTTCATTTATAGTGTTGGTGAAGAATATTAAATATACCATGGACTGACAGAAGAACAAACAAATCTGTTTTGGGATAGTACGGCCAGAATTCTCCTTACAAGTGAGGATGATGAGACTTCATCTCATATACTTTGGACATGTTATCAGAAGGAACCAGTCCCTAGAGAAGGACATCATGCTTGGTAAAGTTCAGGGTCAGCGGTAAAGAGGAAGACCCTCAAAGGGATGGATTGACACAGTGGCTGCAACAATGAGCTCAAACAGCAACGATCGTGACCATGGGGCAGGACTAGGCAGTGTTCCGTTCTGTTGTACATGGGGTCACTATAAGTCAGAAATGATTTGATGTCACCTAAGAACAACAATCTTAAAAACTAAAAATTTTACCTTAATCCAACATCTTCAGCAATTAGGAAAAAAGCAGCTGAAGCCTACAGTCACCAGTAGAAAAGAAAGTAGTAGTTAAGATTTGAGCAGAAATAAATGAAACAGAAAATGAAAAACAATAGAAAGAATAAAAAAAACCTAACAGGATGCTATCTGCAGCCTATACAATTATGAGACCAGAAGAACTAGATGATGCCTGGCTACCACTGTCAACCACTCGGAGGGGGATCTATGTAGGAGATCCTGGATAGAGAGGGAGAACGATGTGGAAAAAAACTCAAAATCATTTGAGAAAAAAAAAAGGGGGGATACAGCCTGGTGGAACCACTGAGACTATGGCCCCTAGCTGCTCTTCAGGTCTGGAATTGAACCCATACCTGTGGCTTCCAGCCAAACAAAAGATAGTCATATGAGGTGAACATTTACCTGAGGTAGATAGACTCTTTGGAGAGATCAATCATGGGAGAAAGAAGGGCTGTTTATGCACAGGGAGACAGCTCAGGGGGCAGGAGTGCATGGAGGGATGGACACAGGGGAGAGGTAATTGTTGGGAGGAAGTGGGAGGGGAGCTATGTGTGGTAAATTGTAGTCAACATCATGAGACAAAGTGAATGTGAGCTGTTGTATGGAAAGTGAATTTGCTCTGTAAATTTTCACCCAAATCACAAAAAAAAAGAATAAAAAATCCTAGAAGTTGGTTCCTTGAAAAGATTAATAAAATGAACAAACCACGGGAAAATTTAATACAGGAGAAGAAGATTCAAATAACAAAAAAAAAGAAATGAAATAGGCAACATCACAACAGAACCAACCATATTGAAAAAGGACAGTATCAGGATAGAACTGTACTCCAACAAATTTGAAAACCTAGAAGAAATGGAAGGTTTCTAGAAACACACTACTTAAAAAACTAACACAAACTGCTGTAGAAAATTTGAACAGACCTGTAAAAAAAAAAGAAGTTGACCAGGTCATAAAATTTTTAAAACTACAAAATAAATAAATAAATAAATAAATAAATAAATTTCTAGACCAGACAGCTTCACTGGAGAATTCTACCAAACATTCAGAGGAAAGCTGACACCAATCCTACTCAAACTATTCCAGAACATAGAAAAGGTGAGAATACTTCCAAATTCATTTTATGAAGTAAGCATTAACCCTGATACCAAAACCAGGCAAAGACACCACTAAAAAGGAAAACTACAAAACAAATCCCTCATGAATAGAGACACAAAAATTTTGAAAATCCTAGCCAATAGAATCCAATCCTATAGCAAAAACATAACACACCATTACCAAGTGAGATTCATACCAGGTATGCAAGGATGGTTCAATAAGGATGAGAAAAACAATCAACACAATCCGTCACATAAATAAATCCAAGAAAAAGAACCACATGATCATATCAACTGATGCAGAAAAAGCATATGATAAAATTCAATACCATTCCTGATCAAAACTCTCAGCAAAATGGCAAAAGAAGGGAAATTCCATAATATAATAAAGGACTTGTACACAAAACCAACAGCCAATGTTATTCTCAATGGAGAGAGACTGAAAGTTATGATAACTTCTTAGCCACAACCAAACATCTTGAAAGAGCGAGTTTTTTGGGTTTGGAAGCATGGTCATGGGGTACATGAAGTTCAATCAGCACAACATACTACAAAAAACCATTGTTCTACATCTTACTTTGGTGAGTAGTAACTGGGGTCTTAAAAGCTTACTTATAAGCAGCCATCTGAGATGCAAATATTTGTCTCTTGTCTGGAGCAAAGAAGAGTGAAGAAAATCGAAGACACATGAAAACAATTAGTCCAAGAGACTAGTGGCCCATGGAACCTCGGCATACATGACCCTGAGGCCAGTGACTAGATAGCACCCAGCTACCACTGCCAACCACTTGGCAAGAGATCAAAACTGGAGACCCTGGGTAGAGTGTGAGAAAAATGAGGAAACCAAATTCAAAATCATGAAAGAGGACAAGGATTACTGGTCTGATACAGGCTGGTGAAACCCTTGAGACTATGGTCCCTGATAACCATTTGGGCCTGGAATTGAACTCATGCCCATGGCTTAACCTTCAGCCAAAAAACACACAGAACTATGAGGAGAACAATTATACCAGGGAGGTGCACTCCTTAGGACAATCAACCATGGGAGATCAGAAGGGCAGCAATTGCTCACAGAGAAAGCTCAGAAAGCAGGAATGCATAGGAAAGAAAGATACAGAGAACAGATAACCACAGGGTTGAAGTGGGAAGAGAGCTGTTACATTGTGGAGATTGCAGTCAATGTCACCAAGCAAAATGTGTATGAACTGTTGAATGGAAAACAAATTTTCTCTGTAAACTTTCACCCAAATCACACAAAGAAAGTTAAAAATTAATAATAAAAAGAAAGTACCAGGAATGGACTTCCAGCAAAATACAAATCAAAACAAACAAACAAACAAACAAAAACCCAAAATTTCAGATCCTAGGCATGGATCTTTTATTAAAATAGAAAATATGATGCTTTGAAGCTCCATTTACTGCACATTTGGTCTAGTTTCCTACAAAGCCATGGCCTTGGCAGAGTTTGAGACTATTATGAAAGTACATGAACACAATAAGTCAGAAAGTCAAATGCCCTGACAATCTGGCTTTAATCACACAGTTCTAGTTTTTGTCTCTGAATCTTGATGACCTGAAAGTTTTCTGAAAAAGATCTAAATTAAATTCCTGGATGCTATATTGAAAGCAATAAAATTTTACCTGCTTGGAAAAAAAAAAAAAGTTATTAAAAGGGAAGTGGCAGCCTCAGCCTACAAATAAAACTACTAAATTATCAATTAAACTTACTCAAACAAACCTTTACATGTAACTCCCCGCCCACACACACAACACACTCAAATTAAGGTTGAGCTGATATGAGACAAGCTGAGTTCTCTCTACTCCTAATTTTACCAGATTGCTAAACCATCATTTTAAGAAGGCACTGAGTAATCCCTAAACTATCTTTCAATTAAACTATAACAAATTCTGGAAACATCTACACATTGGTAGGTGTAGGTGTGTGTGTCTATGTGTGTGTATTACAAATAATACATAAAACAATTCTCCATTATTTAGTCCTTCTATAACCAGTGGAGAATTTTGTGTAGAGGAAATAATAGTAATAGAAGATTTAAAGCAATTTAAATAATGTTTGTGTGTTTCCCTGAGACCAAACAGAACCTGTGAGATAATCCTGTCTCTGACTGACCAAATAATATCCAGGAGTTCATTATTTTCTATAGAAGGAGCTCTGGACGGCATAGTGCCTAAGGCATTTGACTGCTAACCAGAAGGTTGGAGGTTCAAACACACCAGCTGCTCCACAGAAGGAAGACGTAGATGGCAATCTACATCTATAAAGATTTACCACTTCGGCAACGCAATGGGGTCGCTATGAGTCAGAATCAACTCAATGGCAGTGAGTTTTGAGTTTGAGTATAGAAATAAGGATCAATTTAAATAAAGATTTAAAACTTCTCAAATGTAGATATGAAAGAGAGAAACACTCACTAGTCGGTCTCTGTCATTCTGGAGTGATGACATGGCTTTTTTCAAACTCTGTACTTCAGCTGGGTTGGCCGCAGGCTGGGCTGCAGACCACTGCTTCCCTTCCTCTGACTTGCGGAATCTTGCCAGCTCATTTAGCAAGTGATCTCTCTCATTCTGTAGACTGGCCATAGCCTTGGAAAAAGATTGCACTTGATTGTAAGAATCTTCTAGTTGTGAGGACAAGTGAAGCAACTGTTCATCTTTGGAGAGGAGCTGTTGGTTAAGTTTCTCCAGGTTAGACAAGCGGTTATCCTCAGTGAAGCCCTTTGGAAAGGTGGCTTTAGAAACAAGAACCTCTCTCTCTCTGCTTAAGAGACCCTGTTTTTCTCTTAGCTGTGCCAACTCCTTCAGACTGGCATCATATTTCCCTTTCAGTTCATCAAGCTCCTCATTGGCAAGATCTCTACTATTTTGCAGGGAACTCATAGACCTCCCAAATGACTGAATTTGTGCTGTGAGATCTTTATTTTCTTTGGTGACCACGAATAATTTCTGTTCCATCTCCATCATATCCCTTGCTAGCTCTGCCACCCTCTCCTCTGCTGTTTCAGTTTCATTTCGCATTATCCCTGCATCATGATGAAGATACTTTAGTTCTTTCTTCAGTTTATCTTCCATTTCACCTACCTTCTTGGCAGCTTCCTTCTGAACACGAACCAACTCTTCTTGCAGTTCTGTAATTCTGTTCTGAGAGGAAGAAAGGGTAGTACTTAACGTCTGCACTTCTTCTTCCTTTACTTTTAATTGAGCCTGAAATATTCCTAACGTGCCTTCTTCTTGCAAGGCTGATATCTGTCCCTGTAGTTGGGACAGAGATATTTTCAAGCTCTCAATCTCTTTAGATAAGCCTTGTTTCTCCTCCTGTAGGGCATTAGAGGACCTCTGCAGAGCCTCCTTTGCTTCCTCAGATTCCTTGAGCTTTTCTTCTAATTTAGCACATTCACTTTTCAGTTCCTTATTCTGCTGAAGTTGAGCTTCAAGGAGTTGCTTTTGCTGACAGTCCTTTATTGATATCACTTGGTTCAGGTCTTCTCTATATTGGATCAATTCTGCATCTAGCTTGGCATTCTCAGAATTGAGATCATCCATATGACTTCTCAAGCATCTAATTTCTTCCTTAAGCTTATTATTCTCAGTAGCAGCATCTTGGATGAGTTGGTCTTTTTCTAAGATGACAGAAAGATGTCGCTCTTCCAGCTGTTGATAGTCACCTACTATGCGGTCTCGGTCATCCTGGAGAGAAGACATGGATTTAACGAAAGAGTCCAATTGAGCCTTCTGCTGAATGCTTTCCTTTTTGATGGTGTTCAGTGTTTCCACAAGTTGATTGGCTTTATCAACAGCTTTTTGGTTCTCCACTTCCTTCTGGGACAGCTGGTTTCCTAGTTCTTTAATTTCTTTATCATGTTGTTGATGCAGTTCTGCAACAGCTATTTGGATTGCCTCTTCCTTGGTAGAAAGCAGGCTTATAATCTTCTGCTCTTTCATGTTTATTTCTTCATGCAGTCTACTGGTCAGTTCCCTGGAGGCCTGAAGATCAGTGTCTAGCTGTTCATAACTGAACTTAAAATTTTGGATATCAGCTTCTTGCTGCTTTACGATCCCTTCTAAATTTTCTTTGTTTTCCTTACATTTTTCTAAAGAGTTATTTAAATCAGTTGACTGGTCTTGAAGAATCTTAAGTTCTGATTCCAACTTAGCTAGTTCATTCTGACAATTGTGGTACAGGTAGCGAGTCTCTTCTAGCTGGGTCAAAAGTTCTTTGTTTTCCCCCTGTAGAGTATCACAGACTTTCTGTTGATGCTGGACCTCTGTCTGGGCCTTGGACTCCCAGGACAGCTTGTCGTGTTCAAGCCTGAAAAAACAAAGAGCATTAATTACAGATTAAATGGAAAAAACACTAGGTGCCTAAAGAACAAATACTACATAATAGATCTACAAGGGAACAAATACTTATGTACTTCCTTGTCACTCAGATATTCATAATTGAAGATGTTCATCTTTTCAATGAAGAGATATTCATTCTCTGTATTACAGACATCTTCTGAATTTTCTGCATTAAAGACATACTGAATATAAAGATTCATATATTCAAATCATAAACTCCAAACTGTTACTTATTTTGGTGACATGGTTTTTTACACTCTAAAATATTAACATTTCCCCTTACTTTGCTTTATGTTGTTTGAAACAAGCCAACATCTGACCCTTTAAGGAATAACATTTGTATGAGAGACAGTGAGGAACCCTGTTCATTAGAATGAGGGACTCTATTAGAAGAGGAAGCATTCAAAGGGTGGGGGACATTGATGGTTCTTGAGTTGAAAATGGTATCATAAAAGTAAAGGCTGAGGAAAATAACTAACAGGTATATGCAGTGAGAATTGATATGAAATATGGAAAACAAGAAAGACCATTTAGGAGGCTAAGAAAATAATTTGGGAATGTTGTTGTAAGGTGCCATTGAGTCAGTTCCAACTCACTGCAAAACATTGCCCAGTCCTGTGCTATCTTCACAATTGTTCATGTGTTTGAGCCCTTTCCTGCAGACACTGCATCAATGCAGGTCTTCCTCTTTTTTGCTGACCCTCTACTCCACCAAGCATGATGTCCTTCTCAAGAGATTAGTCCTTCCTGATAATATGTCCTATGTATGTAAGATGAAGTCTCAACTTCCTTGCTTCTAAGAAGCATTCTGGCTATACTTCTTCCAACACAGATTTGTTTGTTGTTCTGGCAGTCTGTGGCTTATTTGACATTCTTCACCAACACTGTAATTCAAATACTTCCATTCTTCTTTGGCCTTTCTTACTCATGTTCTAGCTTTTGCATGCTTATGGGGCAACTGAAACACGATGGCTTAGGTCGGGCACACTTTAGTCATCAAACTGTTATCTTTGTTTTTTAGTATTTTAAAGACAGCTGTTGCATAAGATATGCCCAATTCAGTATGTCTTCTGATTTCTTGACTGCTGGTTCCATGGATATTGACTGGATCCAAGTAAAGTGAAATCTTTGACAATTTCAACCTTTTCTCATTTTATCATAATGTTGTTTATTAGTCCAGTTGTGAGGATTTTTGTTTTCTTGATGTATAGTCCATACTGAAGGCTGTAGTCTTTGATCTTCATTAGTAAGTGTTTCAAGTTCTCCTTGCTTTCAGCAAGCAAGGCTGTGTCATCAGTACATCTGAGGCTGTTAATGAGTCTTCCTGCAATCCTGATCCAGCATTGTTCTTATAGTCCAGTCCTTTCAGATTATGTGCTCCATATCCAGACTGAGTATGGTGAAAGGAAACAATTCTTATGCAAACCTTTCCTGATTTTAAGCCCTGCAGTATCCCCCTGCTTTGTTTGAACAACTGCCTCTTGGTCTATGAAAAGATTCTGAATGAACAATATTAAGTGTTCTGGAATTCCCATTATTTGCAACATTATCGACAATTTATTATGATCCGAACAGTTGAATGCCATTGTCAATAAAACACAGGTAAACATCTTTCTGGTATTCTCTGCTTTCAGCCAAGATCTGACATCCAAAATGATAGCATTGTTATATATCCTCTTTTCATTCTGGCTTGAATTTCTGGCAGTTCCCCACTGAGGTACTACTGCAATCATTTTTGAACTATCTGCTGCAAAATTTTACTTGTGTATAATATTAACGATATTGTTTAATAATTTCCGTGTTCTGTTGGATCACCTTTCTTTGGAATGGGCACATATATGGATCTCTTCCAGCTGACTGGTCAGGCAGCTGTCTTCCAAATTTCTTGGTATACACAAGTGCTTCCAGTGTTGCATCCATTTACTGAAGCATCTCAAATGGTATTCCATCAATTCAGTGCAGCTTGTACCTCCTTCTTCAGTGCCATCAATTCTTGATCATATATTACCTCCTGAAATGGCAGAACATCAACCAATTCTTTTTGGTACAATGACTCTACGTATTTCTTCCATCTTTTTTTTTTTTTCTTTCTTTTTGATGCTTCCTGCATCGTTCAATATCTTGCTCATGTTGTTGTTGTTAGGTGCCATTGAGTTGGTTTCAACTCATAATGACCCTCTATAAAACAGAACAAAACAATGCCCAGTCCTGTGCCATGCTCACAATCACTGCCATGCTTGAGCCCATCAGTAGAGCCCCTGTGTTAATGTTGAGGGTCTTCCCCTTTTTCACTGACACTCCACTTTTCCCAGCATATCTTTCTCCAGGGACTGGTCTCTCCTGGCATGACCAAAGTATGAGAGATGAAGACTGGCCCTTCTTGCTTCTAAGGAGCATTCTGGCTGTATTTCTAAGACTGATTTGTTCGTTCTTCTGACAGTCCATGGTATATTCAGTACTCTTTGCCAACACCAAAACTGAAATCCATCAATTCTTCTGTAGTTTTCCTTATTCACTGTCCAGGTTTCACATGTATATAAGGCTACTGAAAGACAATGGCTTGGGTCAAGCTCCAAAGTGACGTCTTAACTCTTTAACACTAAAGAGGTCTTTTGCATCAGATTTGCCCAGTGCAATAATGACATCTGATTTCTTGACTGCTGCTTCCATGGGTATTGACTGTGGATCCAAGTAAAACAAAATCCCTGACAACTTCAATCTTTTCTTCATTTATTATGATGTTGCTTATTGGTCCAGTTGGGAGGATTTTTGTTTTCCTTATGTTGAGATGTAACCCATACTGAAGGCTGTAGTCTTTGATCTTAATCAGTAAGCCACTTCAAGTATTCTTTGCTTTCAGCATATTAAGTGTTCTGGAATTCCCATTGTTCACGATATTATGTACAATTCATTATAATTCACACATTTCAATACTGCAACTCAAGGCTTGATTTTTTTCTTCAGTTCTTTCAGCTTCAGAAATGTCAAACCCTTTTGGTTTCCCAACTCTGAGACTTTATAGTTTTTAATACTTCATTTTGTCATCTCAAGCTGCCCTTTGAAATCTTCTATTCAGCTCTTTTACTTTATAATTTCTTCCATTTGCTCTAGCTACTCTACATTTTTCAAGAGCAAGTTTCAGAGTCTCTTCTGTCATCCATTTTGGTCTTTTCTTTCCCTGTCTTTTAAATTACCTTTTCCTTTCTTTATGTATGATATTCTTGATGTCATCCCACAACCCATCTGGTGTTTGGCCATTAATTTTGAATTCATCAACTCTATTCTTGAGTTGGTCCCTAATTCAGGTGGGATATATTTTGGGTCTTATGGACTTGTTTTTTCTTCTGCTTCAACTTGAATTTGCATAGGAACAAATGATGGTCTATTCCACAGTTGGCCCCTGGCCTTTGTTCTGACTGGTGATATTGAGCTGCTCCATTGTTTCTTTCCAAAGATGAAGATGATTTGATTCCTGTGCATTCCATCCAGAGAAGTCCACGTTTGTAGCTGCTGTTTATGTTGTTGAAAAAGATATTTACAATGAGTAAGCCATTGGTCTTGCAAAATTCTATTATGCAATAAAGACACCAGGCTTTATTGGTCATATAGAGACTAGTGGAATACCTGAGATATAGCCCTTAGTCACCCTTTGGACCTGGAACTGAACTCACCCTTGTGGCTCAAATTTCAACCAATCCATCGACAGGTTTGTAAGGTGAACAACAACACCAGGAAGGCATGCACTTCTTACACCAATCATCATTTGAGATCAAAAGGGTAGCATCTCCCCAAGGACAAAGTTCAGAAAGCAGGAAGGGTTAGGAAAGGAGGAGGAAAGGAAACAAGAAACACAGAGAGGAAGTGGAATCAGTGATGTACATTGAGAGAACTGCAATCACTGGCATGAAATAAAATGTATATGAACTGTTGAACGGAAAACTGATTTGCTCTATAAACTTTCACATAAATCACAACAAAAATGTTAAAAAAAAATTCTATCATGCAATCTCTGGTGTCATTTCTACAACCAAGGCTATATTTTCCAACTATTGATCCTTCTTTGTTTCCAACTGTTGCATTCCAAGCACCAGTAATTATAAATGCATCCTAATTGCATGTTTGATCAATTTCCAACTGCAGAAGTTCATAAAAATCTTCAATTTATTCTTCTTCAGCATTAGTGGTCTGGTGTGTAAATTTGAACAACAGCTGTATTAACTGGTCTTCCTTGTAGGTATGTGGATATATCCTATCACTGACAGCATTATTCTTCAGGATCCATGTTAAAACGCTCTTTGAGATAATGAATGTGATGTGATCCCTCTTTAACTTATCATGCCAGCATAATAGACCATAAAATTACCCCATTCAAAATAGCCAACACCTGTCCATTTCAGTTCATTAATGCCTAGAATTTTGGTCTTTATGTATTTCATTTTTTACAACTTCCAATTTTCCCAGATTCATATTTCATACATTCCATACATTAACAGATGTTTGCAGCTGTTCTTCTCATTTTTAAGTCTTGCCACATCAGCAAATGAAGGTCTCAAAAGCTTTACTCCATCCACATCATTACGTTGACTCTACTTTGAGGCAGCTCTTCCCTAGTCATATTTTGAGTGCCTTCCAACCTGAGGGGCTCATCTTCTGGCACGCTATCAGACATATTCTGCTGCTATTTATAAGGTTTTAATTGTCAATTCTTCAGAAGTAGACTGCAGGTTCTTCTTCCTAGTCTGTCTTAGTCTGTAAGCTCCAATGCAACCTGTCCACCACCGGTGACCCTGTTGGTATTTGAAATACTGGTGGCATAGCTTCCACTATCACAGCAATACCCAAGCCATCACAGTTACGACAAACTGGCAGACAAGTGGTGGAATCTGGAAGTAATGTGGTATAAATCTAAACAAGGGAGAAATCTAAGGAATCTCTCAGGAGAAAGATAGGAAGAGAAGTAGATGTGAATTTTTCATGTTAATACAAGTTGTAGCAGATTATCTGATAAGGGGGAAAAAACAGAAAGTGAGAGAGTATATATCTTCTAAGGGAGTTTAAGCCAAAATTATTACTAGATAAATAGTTTAAATAAAGACTTTCTTTGCCTCCAATTACCCTGGGGGAGCATTTACCTCACGAATAAATCAAATACCTTCATTCATTTACCTGGAAATGCTAATCTTCAATTCCTCCATATGGATAGTCATCTGCCTAAGCTGATCCTTTAGAACACTGCAATTCTCCTCTTTGAGTCTAAGTTCATCTTCTTTGGTTTGAATGGCATCACTGAACTTCCTCTCCCATTTCTTGGCTTCATCTATCACCCTGTCCCGATCATCCTGGAGGGAAGACATGCTCTTAGTGAATGCTGCAAGCTGGGCCACAGTACTGTCCAGGTTTTCCTGAAGTTGCTTAACTTCTGTGTCTTTCTTGTTCAAAGCAATCTGAATTTCTTCAAATGTTTCCTCTAAGTGGACTTTTTCTCTACGCAAAGCATCCAGTTTCTCTAGCATATTCTTTTTCTCTTTCAGGTGTTTATCTTCTGCCTGTTCTAATCTTCGCTCAAGATCATCATCCTTTTGTTTCATTTGGCTTTTAACTAATTCTTTACTTGACTGAAGTTCCTTTTTCAACTTGAGATTGTCTGCTAGGACCCGAGCAGCCTCACTTTGAGTGTCATCTAGCAAGACTCTGAAGCTAGCTAATTCTGCTTGTGCTTTCTTGCGCAGTTCATCTGCTTGAGACAGATTTTCTTTGCTTATTTCCAAGTCTTTTTGAGACTCAGACTGAACAAATTCTAGGGCCTTAACAGTTCTCTCCAGAGCACTAATTTTCTCTTGATATCTGATGCAGTCCTTCTGCAACTGCTTTACTTCTTGCTGTTTTTCTTTTAACAGCTCCTGAAGCTCTTTCACATGGCTTTTAATGCCAGGTCCTTTCTGGCCACCCTGTATTTTCTCCAAATATTCTTTTCGTATTTCTGATTCCACCTTAGTTTTTTCCTTGACTAACTGCTGCTTTTCTTCTTCCAATTCACTCACACACTTTTTAAGATTCTGCATTTCCGATTCTAGTTGCTCATTTTTTATTTGGGCATCTGTAACATCCTGATAATAATTCCCAATGCTTCCATTAAGTTCTGCTAACTGATTCATAAGCCTCTCTTCCAAATCATCTTTCTCTTCTTCTGCTGTCTCCTTTAATTTGGTAACTCTGGAGAGTTCTTCTTGGATTTGCTGATTTAACAAGTTTATTTTGGTTACTTCTTCCTGAAGTATTTTTAGTTCACCATCCTTTGATATTATTTGATTCAGTAAGGTATTTCTCTCATCTTCTAATGCCTGACTAAATTCCTTTTCTTTATGCTTCTCCTTCTCTAATTCAGCAATTCTTTCTCTGAGCTGATCAATCTGCTGTAGGTAGTTATTAATTTCATCATGTGAGCTGATATTCTCACTTATGTCAAGCTCTGTCTTGGTACTATACTCTGGTAGAATGGATTCTGAATGTTCAGGCCTTGTACTCATACTCTGAGAGTCTTGCTCTTTAGCCTCACCTGACACAGACTGTGTTGCCTCTTCAATAATATCCATTTGGTTTTCTTGCTTCTCAGCAGCTTCTAGGTTGCTTTGTTTGGATACATTGTCTTCTATCTGATGTTTTAAATCTTGAACCTCTTGACTCAGAATGTTCTTCTCAGCCATTAAAGCTTCAAACTCCTTAGAAAGGGTTTCATTTTCCATTTTGACCCTCTCTAGTTCCTCCTTCATGTTGGAATTGGAAGAAACAAGTGCTTCCACACGTTCTTTAGATGTATCTCCTGCAGAAGGGGCCTCTGCTCTTAGCCGCTCATTCTCTTCTTCTAGCTCTAGGATTTTCTGCTGCTTAGATTTAGCAAACTTTCTCATCTTTTCTTTCATCTCCTCCATTTCCTGTTCAGCTTCTTGCAACTGCTTTTCTGTCTCTTTCTTGCTTGCTTCTGTACTTCTCAACTTGCCATACAATTCTTGCTTCTCTTGCCTCACAGATTCCACCACATGCTGAATCCTTTCTGCCTCATTACTAACATTCTCATAGGACTGCAGAAGAATTTCATATTCTTTTTGTAGTTCCTTGTGTTTCTCTTGCCACTCAGTGTTTTCTGCAATCTGAGAGCATTTCAAAGATTCAACTTCCTTCATTAAGTTTTCCTTGTCTTCAGTAAGACCCTCTAAAGCTAGTTTGAGGCTTTCACAAGAGCTGCTGAGATTTTGGTTTTCCAGTAAAGACCTGTCCATTTCTGCAATGAGTTTGTCTCTCTCTTCCTGAAGAAGAACTAACCTTTCTGAGAATATCTCTTTTTCCTTATTTTGAGCAGAAACTTGGCTTTCTACACCTACCAGAGACTTGGTAAGATGTTCAATACTATCTCTGGCCAAAGACAACTCCTCTTGGAGATCTTTGTTTTCTTTTAGTGCTTCTTTTCGGGAAATAAGGGCAGCTTGAAGTTTCCTTTGTATTTGTTGCTTTGCTTTACTTTCTTTTTCACTCTCTTCTGGTTTTTGCTTCATTTCACCAAGTTCCACCTGTAACTGCCTTATTCTTTCATCATGCTCTTTGGCCTGCATTTCTAGTTGTATATGTAAAGCCTTAATCAAGTCCTCCTGTTCTATTATCTCTGTCTTCACTTTAGTAAAGATTTTCTCTTTGTCACTAAGTTGTCCAGAAAGGTAGTTGACTTCTTCTTCCTTTTTGCTTATGAGTCTTTGCAGTTCATTTAGGGCGGGCTGTAACTCTTTGAGATGTTCTAATCTAGCAATTTCTAGTTGACTGCTTTCCAGCGTCAACTTCAGGCTTTCTGCATGGGCTTCAGCTTCACTGGTTGCTGTCTTTAGATTCTGGATCTCCAAAATCTGTTTGTTTATCTGCTCTTGTAATTGACGTACCTCATCTGATTTTTTAGCAAGCTCACTTGTTGTAGAACTAACCTTCAATTTTAATTCCTCTTTCTCAGCCTCTATTTCTTTCAGATAGGCCTTAATCTGGTCAGCAGAAGTATTACTCTGCAGATTATTTGCATCTTCAGGTTGACAAGGCAAGTTTGGGCCTAAGCAGGGCTCTGAAATGGGCTGAGCAAGTTGCTGTTCTGTAGCTTTGAATAAAGGATCCTCTAAACCTTGAGTGGAAGAGCTTGATTCTTCCTGGTCAGTGCTTAGTGGGGGTTTTCTGTCTGAAGACTCCCTTACTTGAATCTGGAGTTGTCTTAATTGGTCTCCAATGACTTCCTTTTCCTTACTTTGCTCATCAAACTGTTCTTGCAAGTGATTGTAGTCATCTTTCTGTTGCTTTAGTTCCTCCCTAAGATGTCTTTCTTTCTCCTGTGACTTTTTTATAATCACTTTGCGTGAGGCTAACACTTCCTGCAGCTTCTTTTGAAGGTGCTCCTTCTCTTTTTCAAGGTCCAGTATCTTTTCTTCCAGTTCTGGTTTCCATTTTTCTCCACTGCCTGCACCAGCCGGACTGATCACCACTGTTTCTTTTACAGGTGCTGCTGAGTCTGCATCACCTGCATCTTTGTTACCTGTGGTTAATTTTTGGATAACTGCTTGGTTTTCAGTGATTTGTGCTTGAAGCAGATCTATTAGGTCTGTCTTTTCTTGCAAATTCTGATTCATCTGTTTGACTGCAGCCTGTAACTGTTCTTCGGCTGCCACCTTTTCTTCCAAATCCTTCCTTACATGCTCTAATTCTACCTCTTTCTCAGATATCACCTGTTTAAAATACATTTCTATTTCTTGGCACTTTGAACTCACACATTTTTCTGAGTCTTCTTTGTTCTCTTTATCATCTTCCATTTCCCTCTTCTCAATCACATTAAATGGGACCTCTTTCCTAGATTCATCTCTCACTCTGGCCAATTCCTCTTCTAATCTACTGACTTTCTGTAGAAGTTCCTTTCTGTTAATAAGAGCTGCCTGGAGCTTTCTCTTTCTCTGCTCACTTTCTTTCTTTAGAAGGTCTAATTCATGCTGAAGTTCTTCTTTACTTATTAGCCCTGCTGGACTCAACTCATCGTAACTACGTTTAAGGCCAGACACAACTTCTTTATCTTCTTCTACTTGCTCTTTTCTTGCTTCTTCAGCTTTGGATAATAAATTCAGCTGTTCTTTAAGAGTCTTAATTTCAACTCCAAGAGAAAACTTCTCTTCATTAAGCTGAACCATTTTCTCAGTCATACTAAAGCTGATTTCTGTCACTTGCTGATCCTTCTCCTTGATGGTTTGTTGGAGGGTTTCCACATCTTTCTTCTTCTCTAATAAAAGTTGATCCAGTTTTGCTATTTCAAGTTCCTTCTGTGAAAGAGCATGTGAAAGTTCTTCTGTCTTGTTTGAAATATCCCTCAAATGTTCCTCCCCCTCAAGCACTTCATTTTCCTTCTTCTGCAGCTGGCTCTGTAGGCTTTTAATCAGTGTACTCTGCTCAGAAAACTGAAGCTGCATATCATCTAGTTCATTCTGTAAAGCTTCAATTTTCACATCTTTAGATTTGGCTTCTATGCTAAGACTGTGGATCTGTTCAGTGAGCAGGTTGTGATGACTAGTCTGACTTTCATAGTTTAGTCTTCTTTGCGTTTCTGCTTCTTCAAGATTTGCTTCCAGTTGCTGTACCTGAGCCCTCAGTTCTGTGACTACACTAAGTTCCTTTACCTGGGAAAGAAGCTGGTCTCTTTCTTCAGACAAAGCAGTGAATGCACTACTTGTGTTTTCAGCATTTTTCTTAAACTCCTCAATCAACTGGCTTAATTTGCTTATTTCCTTAGCTTTCTCATCTAAATTGTTTTCATACATTTCTTCTGCTTTTCGAAAGTTAATCTCAAGCTCCAAAACTTGACTTTTTAACCTTTTCAACTCATCCTGCTGACAGTGACTAATATCCGGTACCACAGAAGACGATTCACCAACAGCATCCTGCTTTGTTGATTTCAATTCCATTTCAGTATCATTAAAAGATATTTCCTCAGATGCTGAATTTTCATGTCTAGTGCTTGCCTGTTCTTCTTTCTCAAATGCTGGAAAATCGTGCCCTGTATCTTCAAATATTTTTATTCCAACTGGAGGCATTCCCTCCCTCTCTATCTGTCTCATTTCTTTCTGTCCAAGGTCCTCTGTGCCTTCCTCAGTCCTTTGGCCCTGTAACTGTAACTTAAGAAATGCAATCTCCTCTTGAGCTTCTTTCATTTCCAATAGTAAAACTGATAATTCTTTATGTTTCTGGGAAAATGAGTTCTCTGAGACATCTTGTGCACTTTCCTCAGTAGAAGAGTTGGTCTTGTTGAGACTGGTATTATCAAGCATGCCGATCTATTTTAAAAAAAGGAAAAGGAAAAAAGAAGCCTTAAATGATTGTTTTATACTAAGAAATAGACTAACTAAAAACTGGAATTTGGTGCAGTTATTAAACCCTGAGACATTTTAGTCCAAACCTCCTTCCCCCAATAAAACTGCTAAATATTTTAAAAATCAGTTTTGATTTCCCAGATTGGATCTCAGTGGGTCTTCTGTCAATTCTGCACTGAGGTCTAGCCATATCAGTAAAACCTAAGGAAATCAGGAATTCATTTTCTAGATATTCCTTATTTGGAAAACTGTTTTTTCTCCATATTAAAGTTCCTATTTGCTTTTCCTAAGAACTGCTTAAAAAGGAAAAGGGAAGGAGGAAATAAATCTTTGTTTTAATCCACACAAAGCAGGAAACTATGGAATTCCTCTTCCTAATCTATCCACTGAAAGGAGAAAGTTGAAAATGTTAGATAAGATAGCTTTTGCAAACAAGTAGATTATCAAACAAATGGATTCAGATAAATTCAAACAAAACCAAAGTGTTGCCATCAAATCAATTTCACTCATATGAACCTATAGGACAGAGCAGAAGTGCCCCCATAGGGTTTCCAAAGCTGTAATCTTTCTGGAAGCAGGCTGTCATGTCTTTCTCCCATGGAGCAGCTGGTGGGTTCAAACTACCAACATTTTGGTTAACAGCTGAGCACTTAAAAGCACTGTACCACAAGGGCTCTTTTCAGATAAATTACCAGGATCAAGTTATAAAAAAGATTAAATAAAGTAGCTGAATTTGGACATGAAATTGGACATATATGGCAAAATATGGACAAAGTTATTACAAAGGTCACTGTGTTAAGACTACTCAAACCATACAAATCATTTTTATCATTGTTTTCTTGGGAAACAAAATCAGTGAATGACATGTTAGTAAATTTAATTAGCATGTTATTAAATGAGTTTAGGAGGTACGTACATAAGAAAATCTCTACCTTTATTAAGCCTTTCCTCCTCCAAGGGAAAAATAATCCAAATAACATAGTGGCTAAGAGTACAGGCTCCATAGCCCAACTGCCTGAGTTCCCATCTTAGCTCTGCCATTATTACTGAAAGCTGGCACACAGTAGTCAATTAGTATTAGCTATTATCTTGATATCATTCTTAGTTTCTTAGTAAGAAACAAATATTAATTTAGAATTTTTAATTTCAAAAAAGTTAATCAGTTTTCATTATTTGTAATGATTTTAAATTCTTTGCTGTCTGCATTAGTCCATATCATTCAAATTTTTAGGGATCAAAACTGGACAGAGTACTCAGCACATGAAAAACGTTTCCTTATAATTTCTACCTGTGACATTCCTATTTATTTATCCCTCTGGTGTAGTGCCTAATGCATATGACTGCTAACTAAAAGGCTGGCGGTTCAAACCCACCAGCCAGTCCTCGGAAAGAAGGCTGGGCAATCTACTTTTGTAGAGATACTGCCTCGGAAACCCAAGGAGGGGTGGCTATGAGTCAAACTGACTCAACAGCAGTGAGTTTGGTTTTGGTATGGATCCTACATACATTAAATAATATAACCAAAGTATCATTTCTGCCAGAATAGTTCAATGTAACTAAATTCCTTTTTGTTCTCTCTCTTAGCTAAAGTATTTCTATCTCTTCTTATCTAACTATCTGTCATGCCATCTTCCTCCCCTTAGTTATGCCCTTTGCTGCTCCATAGACACCGACAGAAGTTTGATTTACTACGTGGCTGGAGTAAAGAATCAATGTCATCCCATACTGGGAACACAGAGAACAAGACACCTTGGCTCTCTCTGGCCACTCTCATTTCTCCTAAAACTGGTCTTCTCCTTTAGGCTGAGCTTTATACTGTCTATGAACTTTTTTACTCAGTCTCCCTTACCCCAAGGCATTCTCTTTGTCTCTCTTCTTTCTGTAATTTGTGTGCTTTTTTTTTTCCCTTTCTTTTCCATTGTGGCATGCTCATTTGTTCACTCTTCTGGTTCTAATTTTCTTTCACTTACCAGATTCTCCTCTTTCTTTTCTGTTGTTCTCTTTTGAGCTAAGTTATCTGTTTTCACTAGACATTCAGGGGTAGCATCTTAAAACATAAGCACCCCCTTAGCCAAACAAAATTCATTTCGGAATTTTTATAATTTATCAATAACAACAAATACTATAATTTTCAAGTTAGACCCCCTTTAACAAGTTTGAGAATAGAGCATCAGTCTCCAAGAAAAAGTATTAAATATAAGTAAGCAAAGGCTTCAGGTAAAAACTTTAGAATTCCAAGTTTTTTATCATTCTTAGTACTGACTTCTTAATTGGAGGGATACAACTAGTTTAACACAATACAGCTAACAAAAAATTTTAAATCAACACACTGTTATTAAGCAGCCAAACATTTCTTTTAATAATTTGCAAGTCATAAAAACACACTATTATCCAAAGACAGCCTTTTCATATCATCCTAAGTAAAACTGTGCAAACCAAAAGAGAAAACAACAATAGCAATAAACCCCAACAATGACAAAAGCAAAAGAAGAGATTCCATCTAATCTCTTCATGAAGTTGAGTTAAATGATAGCCTGGTATAAGAATGGGTTATCAAACCCCAAATAAGTGGCTACAACCTTTGGCTCAGGGCAAATGAAGAAACCCAATTATTGAAAAACCAATGTTAGTAAGTGACAAATAATAATCAGTATGGAGCTCTTAAGGAGCTCTGGTAGCGTAGTGCCTAAGGTACTTGACTGCTAACCAGAAGGCTGACAGTTCAAACCCACTAGCCACTCCTTGGAAGGAAGACTGGGTAATCTACTTCCATAAAGATACCTCTTCAGAAACCCAAGGAGGGGTCACTATGAGTCAGGTCCAACTTGACGACACATAACAACAACAACATAGAGCTCTTAAGTAGATCTCATTCTATAGGTAAAGTAATTTCTTTATCAACATTAGAAAATCATACATATGTTCATATTTGAAACCAACTCCTCTTAAGCCAGTGCATATTCTGGTGATTTTACTTACCTCGCTCACATCTTGATCTGCCTTTCCAGTTCTATTCTGAGCCTCCAAGAGAATAATCTGAGAAGACAGTTTTTCTGAAAGTCACAATACAAACACCTTTAGGTTATATATATGAAGTGTTTGAAAAACACAAACCTTATTGTGTGTGAGGCTATTTGAAATCATGAAATAATCAAGAGAAAAGAAACAGAATAGTTTGGAAGCGATAAAAGCTTTATTTTATTCAAATAAAGAGATGGCAAGAGAAGACAACAAGATGACCTGTGAGAATGGTACTAGGGGATGATAATGAACCTCAGTGAAGTACAACAAGCAATGGAATGCTTTAAAAGAGAAGGAAGCCAGAGCATATGACACATAACAGCTATTTTTTACAGCATAATCTGGGATTTCTATGGCAATAAATCTGCCTTCATTTTTCTATAGTCTACTGTGTTCACAATATACATTCTTGCATCAGTATTGTACTTAAAAATTAATCAGTGCTCTTTCATATATTTTCATAACTACATCAACTTTTAGAAATAGAAGGAAATTATCTAATCTTATCAATCACATGAGGAAAGAGAGAAATGACGTGACCTGCTGAGGTTATACAGCCAGTTCACAGACAGCTGGGATCTGAGTTCTACCCCCATGTACTATTATGATGTGCATACCTACGAAGGGTACAGGTACCTTGAAGGATAAAAATAGTTGAGTATTAATGTGCCTTCAAATAGCTCATATTCTTTCTAAGAAGCTAAGATACATACTTACAAAAAAGAAATTTATTTTTATATTGCATGCCCTATGGGAGCCCTCTATAATTTGACCCTATTTATTCTGCAGCCTCCTTTTTGCATGGTCCCTTTTTTTTTCATTATACTTCAGAAACACTGGCCTTCTTTCTGTTCTGCAAACCTATTAAGTTCATTCATACATTAGCGCATTTACACTGTGCTCTTCTTAGCTAGGAATGCTCTTTGCTCAGCTTCTTTGCCTGGCCATCCCTTTATCAGCCATCATTCAGGCTTCCAGTCTTCCAGAAAGCCTTCCCTAACTACTCTTACACTGCCTTTTCCTGTTCTAGGTACACTTGCAGTTTAATTTATTAAAATGTACCTTATTTTATTATTTGTATTTTTTTATAGTTTAAACACACGCAGGCACTACCGTCGAGTTGGATCTGACTCACAGCGAGCCCTCCTTGGGTTTCCAAGGCGATATCAATATGGAAGTAGATTGCCCAACCTTCCTTTCAAGGAGTGGATAGTGGGTTTGAACCGCCAGCTTCTGGTTAGCAGTCAAATGCCTTAGGCACTGTGCCACCAGGGCTCCCAGTTTCTATACAGTGTAATTATATATATATATATATATATATATATATGTATGTATGTATTTCTTAAAACATCCTGTCTTTATTCCCTAATATTTATCACTCTGAAATTTTATGGCCTGTCATAAACATGGCTACCATTAGGAAGGGAACTATAGATATTTGAACAATTAATGAATAAAGGATATCCATCACAAATGAATATAAGAGTGTATATAATGTATTCACACTTCACAAGATTATTCAAGAAGGAGGAACAATGGTAGAAATGGCAATGACAAAGTGAGTTACATAAAATATGGCACATAGAGCAAAGGTAACTCATGAAACCAGACAAAAGAACTAAGTTTATTATAAATTCCACAGATTGATTATGGGAGAGAAATTTACACAAAAAATTAAGGTTAGTGATCCCTTTGGTAAAAAAGAGAAGCAAATGGAACTCAGATATCACTTCTAAGCCCTAATGAGGCATGTGCATGGGACAGAAACGAAATGCAAAATAAGCATCATGGATGGATAACACCTGAAAGAAGAACTCTGAGAGTTCGGGCAAGATGGAGGACTAGGCAGAAGACTGCACAGACCCTCTTCAACAAAGAAAAGAGAAACCAATTAACACAGACACAGAAGATAATCCTGGACCCCTGAGCTTTGAAGGGAAGGATATAGAAGTGGACTAAACCCCAACTAGCAGAAGAATTTGCATGAAAATACCAAAAAAGGAGACATATGGAGCTGCGGTCTGGCCGTGATCCTGAGCGATCCTGACAGCACAGACAGCTTGGAGATTGCCGAGTGGTGGTAGGACTTGAGAATTAATCTAAAAATAGCCCTGCTAGCCAGGGACTACACAGAGGACTGTGCATGGTGGCTGAGGAATAAATGGAGAAGGTGAAGAGAAAGGCAGGCTGAGCTGTGGACTTTTGCCGGTCTGGAGGGTGCCACCATTTTGAAGGTCTAAAAGCGGTTATTTTGGATATTTAAAGAGACAGCACTCTCGCAGATTCCTGGGGCTTAAGAACACGTTCTGCTTTCCAGCAACCCCAAGGACCCTCCGGACCTACAAGACTGAAAAGTTTTTTTGAAGGTTATTCAATTGTAATTTGTGTCTAATTGAGTGGGAAATAACAACAGTCCC